CAACGATAGGCAACCCTCCAGTAACAATAGATTCCCCCAGCAACAATGGATCTCTCCTCAGCCAGAATAATAGACCCCTCTTTCAACAGTAGATCCATCACATCAACAATTGATCCCCAAGTAACAATAGATCCCCCACCAGCATCGATAGACAATCCAGCACACCCCAGCATCCCTTACCATTATATACATTCAGTGCTGGAGGTGCCAGAATTTCGTTCCACCACTTTCGCGCTGAAAAAAGCCCTGGTCATAATAATACAAATACTGAAAAATTAATGTAACATATAACCACAGAGAAATGTTTGTATTGGAGGCATATCTTACTGAAGGAGTGAGCGTTGGGTACTGGAGAGAAGGTCTTTTCTCTTGCCCTTCACTTCCTGTTTGTGCAGTGATTTTTGAAAATTTCTCTGAATATACCTTTGTGTAGATACATTTACAATGATATGCAGACAAGGTAATGCAAACTTTTCTCTATGTATATATTACATACATTTTTCAGCATTTTCATTATTTTGACAATAGCGCCTCTGTAGATGATAGTTCTTCTTTCTGAGCATTCAGAGAACCATATAAACTGCAGCTCAGTAAATGACTCCTTTCTTCAGCTCCTCCATAATAATGTATATAAAGCATGAAAATGACATTTTCTTTCTTTGTTGATTGAGCTGAGTTTTTACCCTAACCTGCTAAGAATATCAGTTCTGTTTCATCTTATTCCAGATCAATAACACTTAAGGATAAAGCCTATTCTCCCCTACTTCACCAGTTTCCCCTTTTATCTTTTTTTCCCTTCATTACCTTCTGAGCCGTATTTTGGGATTATTTATCACTATCTATTCTTCTTCTTCCATTTGTGATAAATACAAATTAGAGGGAAATGATAATTTAATTGTGAGTAAATGTCGGCAAGTCGTTAAGACACTTCTCCTCACCATTAATGGCATTTCACTTCCACAAGAAAAATTTACGAGACAAATTAAAGAGAATCTTCTGGTATCTTGAGCATGTGGCTGGCCCACAGCTGTGGCAGCAGACCATAATTTAACCTTATGGCAGCCTACAAATTCAGAAAGGAATACGCGTTGTATAAAAAGTGCTGATCACTGATGAATCAGCTGTTAAGATTGCAAAAGCTATCATTTTATCATATGACATAGGAATGATGCTCAATAAAAATGTGGTTTAACTTATGATCGGCTATATATATTGCAAGTGGGTTCGCTTATTTCATTGCTAATTGAGGCATTTTGTAATAAAAAAAATTAAATTCACTCAAATTTTGCCACAAGTAAAATGGATCTGTGTTACATTTTTTTGTCTTGTGTTTTTTTAAAGTATATACATTGTAAAATGACTGATTGTTTTGATTTTTTTCTCCTTGGCTCTAATACTATTAACACCTTTGCTCTATTACAGTTGTGCATTTTCATGCACTATTTTCTGAGTCTAGAAGGGTGAATAGTAAAAAGAAAATTAGCTGGGGTAAGTATTGATATTTTATTGGAACTGTAATTACTACAGTTAAAGTAGAATTCCATACAAAACTGAACTGCTCTTAAAACTGTCCCCCACCCTCCTCCTAACACTTATGCTGACTAACCAGTGTAAGAACGTTCTGTGTACTTACCTATTTTCAGCCTACTCCAATCTGGTCAAGTGATCCCAATCCCCTGTGTCAGCCTGTGGCCTCTGCAGGAAAGAAGAAGGAAAGCAGATAATGAATGGGCCATAAGAGCCAATGGGTGATGTCACCACCCTCAGGTATTGCCAGTCATGCTCTCTTTTCCCCTGCAGCCAGCACTGGCTGACACAAGGTATCACATGACCAGACCAGAGTGGGTTGAAAATAGTAAGTATATACATTTTTCTTACACAGGTTAGTCAGAATAGGTGTTAGGAGGGGGGAGGGGACAGTTTTAAAAGTAATTAGGTTTTGCATGGTATTCTACTTTAAAGAGTTAGTTCACCTTTGCCACTTCTGTTCAACGGTTTTGAGGTTGACTTCTGTCAAACATGGACCTGTACACACCAAATGTCGGCTGGTTTCTACTGTACCAGCTGATTTCAGCAGATATTTGGCCCGTGTATATGGGACTTTAATTTGACTACACATGCAACAGGTTTCAGGCAATTTTAGCCCCACTGAATAAGCTTTCCACTGTAAAAATGAACAAATGAATGAACACAACCTACAACCAACAGTTTTTACAATTTGTTCAAAAATTGGAAATTGCTTGCAAGTTGCTGTGTATGTGACCAACATGACACATAATATAACTCTTAAATGTAAACTTTAAAGCTTTACCTCCCCCCTATTTATCAAATATCTGCTGCTGATATGTCACCTCTAGTCCCAAAGACCATCAGACATACTGATACATGTAGTTCTATAGCTTTACTTGCTAGGTTCTGCTGGTACCTGTTATTCCAAACGGCTTGTGCTCAAAACTGGGTAACCAACTGTTGTTCATTTAATTGGCTATACATCTGGTCTAGCCAGGTCATCTCCCCTATTTTAAGCTGGGCTCATTCCATTGGGCATTTGTCTGAGCAATAGTTGGTGTTCCTTGTGCCAGGTCCCCCAGTGACTTTGTATTTTTGAGAAGATCACTAGTGTTTACTAATGGAAAAGATTCAGAATTTCCCCCAGTGCTTGCTAGTGTCCATGTCTTTACGAGAGGATTCAGTTACCCCCAGTGTTTTATTGTGTCCCTGACTTTCCATGAAGCTTTCTACTTTCTGAGAGACTTCTAGTGACTCCAAGATTCCTAGTGTTCCTGTATTCAGACCCTCCCCCTCCTGTTCCTAGTAGCTGTTTGCAAGTGTCTCCCACTGTGATTTGCATACTCCCATTGTTCCCAGTGTTTTCTAACCTTTCCCCAAAGACTTTGTGTGTCTTTGAGTGCTTTTTGCCTTCCTGCTCCTCTGTGATTTTCAACCTGTCTTTCAATATCATAAAGCAAATAAAAAGAACATTCTGTTCTCTCATTAAACCCCCTCAATCCAAGCTGCTGAATACATATCTGGATGATATTTCAAAAACATCATATCCAACATACAGCGCTATTCAAAATTAAATATATGGAAAAACTAATATTTCAGACCATAATGCATACAACTAAAAGGAGTATATTCAATCAATACATAAAAAATAAAAATAATAAATTACAAAATTGCTGTGCAAATCAATAAAGGTGCATCAAGTCCATTAGTTCATCCAACACACAATACAGTTAAAAAATAAATAGATTATGCAAAATCAATCCAGTATATAGTAAAATAATCATAAGTCCATTAAACCATGCAGTGTGTAAACAAACATCTTCCACAAAGTGAGAAATGTAATAGCTGGTCTTCAATGTGATAAAGTGCCTGTACTTCATGTCCTTCAGGATGCACACCAGTGGTATACTGTAACGCTTACCAGATTTAATTGAGCACTTCTTACAAAATGGTCAAACAGTGCAGGATAACATTGCTAAATAGCCAAAGAATTCCCTGGTTCCTAAGACCTTCATAATGCTCATGAAAATAAGGTCCCATTATTAACAAAAATATAAAAAAAAGGAGAAAGAACGTATAGCCTAAAACAACTTCTGTATTAAAAGGTCACATTAAAAACAATCTAGAGATACTCACAGAGTGCTCAGCCCAGCACTAAGGATCTGACAACTAAGATAGACTAAATTGAGCACCACGCCAGGGCACTTTCTGCACTGTGAGCAACCTCCTGTCCTTGTGCTGACATCGCAGTACTCAAGCCTTACCCAACATGTTTCTTCTGTGCAGACGTCAGCAGGAACAATCAATTCTGAATTGTTACCTTTGGGTTACCAATGAGCCATCTGGTCACTTCTGGAGACCATCTTAGAAAATCAGTAGAATAGGATTGCACAGCAGGGTTTTGCAAAAAAGGATTCATCACCTGGAAGATGTCTTTCACATACCCACCACCCCTGCAGTGAGTAATGGATAAAAAAGAGCAACCCCTGGACCTTCTACTGAGATGAAGATGAGAATCCCTGATCCGCTTGCATCTGAGAAATCAAACAGCAAGCTGTGGCCTAAATGTTGACCTGGGTCAAGTAATTTGCCTGCAATGTAACAATTCTGTTTGCTAGAGGATATCGGCATAATCCCTGAGATTAAGTGATAGTTACTGAATTGAGAACTTTCCAGGGGGAGTCCAAGTTAGAGTGTACTTGAGGGTCCAAGAGGTGACCATGTGAGTGGTGTTTGTGTGTGTTGTGTGTTATAAATGTAATGTCCTCTAGGTTTAGCCAGATAGGTTTGTTGTTTTTTTTAGATAGAAGCTGAGTAGCAGTCTGGGATGAGTCAGCCTGGGAGTGAGGCAGGAGTTCACCTCAGGACAGGCTGGGAGGTTCTATTAGGTCTGGGATTCTGGAGCCCTCCCACCCTTCCAGAAACTGACAGAACTTTTTGGAAGAGAGGTGGAGGAGGGGAGGAGGCCCAGATCTGCATGTTTGAAGGACCTTGGCCAATCCCCTGGCAGGAGGATGGGCATGGTGACCAGGGCAACCCTCTAATATGACAGAGCTTGAGGAGCAAGGGAGTCGGGTGGAAGATGGATTGAGAGGAAGGCTGGAGTGTGGAGCCTGGGAGGGGGCCCCAGGGAGGGGAGCCTACCTACAGACCCAACTAGTTCTCATCCGGGACTACTTCATTGTTAGCTCATGGGACCCCTTGCCAAGGGATACCCTCAGTGCAGCTGGGTGAAGAGGAGGATTCACCCAGGGTCTGAGGAGGTACAGCAAGGAGACTTAGTGTTCCTTAACCACCTTCCGCCCACCCTATAGTACAATGACGGGCGCAAGGTGGTTCTCTCGTTCTGATAGGACATCATATGATGTCCTACCATTCTCACTGCGCATGTGAGGCTCAGGGAGCGCGCAGCGCAGCGATCGCCGGTGCGCTGTGTCCCTCAGACATAGCGGATCACGGAAAGAGCCGAAGATGTCGGCTCGATCATGTGATCAGCTGTGTCCAATCACAGCTGATCACGTGTAAACACGGAAATGCCGGTTATCGGCATTTCTCTCCTCTCGAGCTGTCATGCTTACAGCTGGAGAGGAGAGCCGGTAATTGGCTTTCCGCGGAGGGGACGTGTACACTGATCATCAGGGCACTGATGATCAGCGTGCCCTGATGATCAGTGTGGCCACAGAAGTGCCACCTGTCAGTGCTCATCAGTGCCACGTGCCAGTGCCCATCAGTGCCATGTGCCAGTGCCCATCAGTGCCTCATCAATGCCACATATCAGTGCATACCAGTGCACATCAATGCCACATATCAGTGCCCATCTTAGCTGCCTTTCAATGTCACCCATCAGTGCCAGTCAGTGCCACCTATCAATGCCAATCAGTGCCACCTATCAGTGCTGCCAATCAGTGCCACCTATCAGTGCTGCCAATCAGTGCCACCTATCAGTGCCTGTCAGTGTCGCCTATCAGTGCGCATCAGTGCCAGTCAGTGCTGCCTATCAGTGCCAGTCAGTGCCACCTAACAGTGCCAGTCAGTGACGCCTATCAATGCCAGTCAGTGCCGCCTATCAGTGCCATATATCAGTGCCATGTATCAGTGTCATGTATCAGTGCTGCCTTTCAGTGCCCATCAGTGATGCCTGTCAATGCCCATCAGTGCAACCTACCAGTGCCTCCTCATCAGTGCCCTTAAGTGCCACCTATCAGTGTCCATCAGTGCAGCCTATCAGTGCCCATCACTGCAGCCTCATTAGCGCACATCAGTGAAGGAGAAAAATCACTTATTTACAAAATTGTATAACAATAACTAAGAAAAAACTTTTTTTTCAAAATTTTCAGTGGTTTTTAGTTTGTTGAAGAAAAAATAAAAATCCTAGAGGTGATTAAATACCACCAAAAGAAAGCTCTATCTGTCTCAAAAAAATGATAAAAATTTCATATGGGTACAGTGTTGCATGACCACGCAATTGTCATTCAAAGTGTGACAGTGCTGAAAGCTGGAAATTGGCCTGGGCAGGAAGGGGGTATAAGTGCTCTGTAGGCTAGTGGTTAAAGAGACAGTGCTATTTTTCTGATTCACATTTTTGTACAGTTTTTGTTGCAAAGAATTTTGTCCTCGAATTTTTCAGTTCCTTGGGCATCCCATATACCCCTAGACCCCTTAAGGGTAGTGCTACATAAAGTTAGGCCAGTTAGGCAACATTAGAAGCTTATGCCACACATCACCCACTCTTCTAACCACTTGAAGACCAAGCCTTTTCTGACACTTTTTATTTACATGAAGAATTCAGTATTTTTTGTTAGAAAATTACTTTGTACTTCCAAAAAGTATATATTTTTAAAGAAGAAGCCCTAGAGAATAAAATGGTGGGTGTTGCATTTTTTTATGTCACACAGTATTTGTGCAGTGGTTTTTCAAACACAATTTTTTTGGAAAAAATACACTTCATTTGAATTTTAATGCACAAAAACACAGTGAGTTGCCCAATTGTTTGGTAAAATAGAAAAGCTGATGTTAAATCGAGTAAATAAATATTAAACATGACATGCTTTAAAATTGCACAAGCTGGTGCAACGGCGACAAACTACATACGTTTTTAATATTCATAGGCAATGCTTTAAAAGCCTTTGCAGGTTACCACTTTAGATTTACACAGGAGGTATAGTGCTGATATTATTGCCCTCGATCTGACATGATACCTCACATGCATGGTGCAATCACTGTTTGCAAACCAACATGGTACACTATCTCTTTATTTTTTTTTTAGCACTTTTGTTGTTATCACAGGGAATATAAATATCACCTGTGATAGTAATAGGTAGTGACAGGTACTCTTTTTTTGAGAAATCTGGAGTCTATTAGACTCTAGATCTCTCCTCTGCTCTTAAAGCACCTGATCACACCAAGATTAATGTGTGGTATACCCACTATTAGAATATACTGCCCTGCATCCACCCACTTCTAATGTTGGGCATATATGTAATTTTTTTTTTTTTTTTTGTTCAACCAATGGGCTGCCCCATGCTTGGGCATATACGTTCTTTTTTTTTCTTCTGCATGTGCTGATGTATATATTCTGAGAGCAACAGCCTGTTTCTGTTAGAATAAACAGATAAGTGCTGCAGCTGAATGGCGTTCCTGGAGAGCAAACAACAACTGTTAACAATAAAACACAGTAAAAACAGAACATTAACTCAATAAAATGACAATTTTTTGTTTACCTTTTTATTTATTTATTTACTTTTTTATAGTTTTTTTTTTTTACTTTTTCTTTTGACTTTTTTTGTAACTTTGTAATAAGAACAGCATCTGATTTTAGGGTATCTCAAAATGCGATAGACAGTTTCCTAACTATCCAAAATCTTTCAAGACCATTGTGTGAGAATTATGTGTCCTAGACTGTACCCTATACTAATACTCCATTAGTGTGTGGTAGCGTCAGAAGCAGTCCTTGATGCAGAGACCAGGTTGGCCAGGAGGGACAGAAAAAGCGAGTGTCTCGTCTTGTTCTGAGTCTGCTACAGACACAACATCTTCTTTGGGGTGACCTTTTGGTACCAGAGAGAACATCAGGAAAATTCCTCTCATGCAGCCCGCTCACCGCATCTGAATTTGGGGTTTGGGCTACAGCACCTTCTGGATACAAAAGGGCCATGATGATCCAGGTTGCTTTGTAAATTACCAAAGCGTTATACATAGCCAATTGAAATAAATAAATATTATTATCATTATTGTTATTATGCAGGATTTTTATAGCCTCAACAGTTTGCACAGCGCTTTACAATATAAAGAGGGGGCATTACAATACAGTTCAATACAGAAGGAATAGGAGGGCCCTGCTCATGGAGCTTACAATCTAAATGAAGGGGAGGTGATACAAAAGGTGATAGCTGCAAGGGATGATCTGGTGGAGGTGATTCAAGTACAGTTCTTAGGAGGAGGTGGAGTAGGCGTTCCTGAATAAGTGGGTTTTCAAAGACTGCTTAAAGGCAAACAGAGTGGGGGCTGACCAGACATACTGGGGTAGGGAGTTCCAGAGGATGGGAGAGAAGAAGAAGTCCTGGAGGTGGGCATGGGAGGAGGTGACAAGAGAGTTAGACAGCAGGATGTCTTGGGAGGAGTGGAGCAGACAATGTGGACGATATCTGCGGATGAGGTTGGTGATGTAGGCAGGGGAAGTGTTGTGCATTGGTTTGTACGTTGTGTTTAGTATTTTTAATGTATACATTGGGCTAGTGGAAGCCATAAAGGGATTGGCAGAGAGGGGCAGCAGATGCTGATCGGTTGGTAAGATGTATAGGTCTAGCAGCAGCATTCATAATAGACTGAAGGGGGATATCCTATGTAAAGGTAGGCCAGTGAGAAGGGAATTGCAGTAATCAAGGCGGGATATAACCAAGGTGCGGATATGTTGTTTTTGTGGTGTCGTTAGTCAGGAAGGGGCTATATTTGGAAACGTTGTGGAGGCTGAGATGGCAGGATTATGTCAGTAATTGGATGTGGGGCCTGAAGGAGAGGTCAGAGTCTAGGATCACGCCTAGCACCTTGGCATGTGGGAAGGGACCAATAGTTGTGTTAATGGTAAAGTCATGGGTGGGGGATCGGGGAGGAGGAAATATTACAAGCTCGGTTTTAGAAAGACTGAGTTTGAGGAAGTGGTGTGACATCCATACTGATATGTCACTCAGTAGATTTGTGATACGTGAGGAGATCGAGGGAGTGAGCTGGGGAGTGGAGAGATATATCTGGGTGTCATCAGCGTAGAGGTGGTATTGCAAGTCATGGGTGGTTATCAATTGGCCTAGGGAGGAGGTGTAGAGAGAGAAAAGGAAGGGCCCAAGGACAGAGCTTTGGGGTACCCCAACAGAAAGAGGAAGAGGAGCAGAGGGGTTGGTGTTGTATGTGATGCTGAAAGTGCGCTGAGAAAGCCAAGAGAAGAACCAGGAAAGAGCAGAGTTATGGAAGCCAAGAGAGTGGAGTTTACTGAGGAGGAGAGAGTGGGTAACTGTGTCAAAGGCAGCGGAAAGGTCTAAGAGTATAGTTTTAGCAGTTAGTAGATCGCTAATGAGTTTTAGTGGGGAATGTTGTGGGTGGAAGCCAGACTGTAGGGGACCGAGAAGGTTGTTGTCACTGAGGTGGTAACAGGGTCGAAGGAGGAGAGTATTGAGTGTGGTGTTGGACCTGGTATATTGGTTGGAGGAGGAAGCTTGATATTGGAGATCTCATTACGAATTGTGTCGATCTTGTTCTTGAAATGACTGGCAGTAAATAAGTTGGTGGGTGGAGGCAGTGAAGGATGAAGTAAGGAATTAAGGGTAGAAAAGAGTTGACGATGATTGGATGAGAGGTTATTGATAAAAGTGTAGTAGGATTGTTAGCAGCATGGAGGCCTGAGTTGTATTTGAGAAGGGAGGATTTGTAGAGGGTGAAGTCTTGCAGAGATTTAGTTTTACACCACTCTCGCTCAAGAGCACAGCTGCGTCTTATGAGACTTCTGGTGTCATCTGTTTGCCTGGGCTGTAGCAGGTGAGGCCTGGTTCTGCATGTAGAGAGAGGAGCAAGTGTGTCCAGGGAGGATGATAGTAAGTTGTTGTAGTCAGATGTGACCAGGTCTGGGCAGGACAGGGGTGCAATTTTATCATCAAAGCACTTGGTAGCAGAGTGAAGAAGGGAAGGGCTGAGGTGGCAGAGGTTTCTACAGGTAATTGTTTGGAGGCATGAGAGGTAGGAGACAAGGAAAGTGTGAAGCTGATGAAGTTGTGATCAAAGAGAGGAAAGTGGGTGTTAGAGAGGTTACAGGGGGTACATAGGTGGGAGAACAGAAGGTCGAGTAGTTGAGAAGTGGCTGAGGTGTTAACATTGACTGGAATGTTAAAGTCACTGAGGATGATGGTGGGTATCTCGAGGAGGGAAAGTAAGGTAGCCATGCAGAGAAGTTGTCAAGGAAGTATGACACTGGACTGAGAGGCCGGTAGATGACTGCGATCCTCAGACAAGCAGGAGAAAAAAGACCAATACAGTACACTTCAAAAGAGCAGAGGGGCAGAGAGGGAGGTGTAGGAAGAACCTGGAACATGTTTTGTGGGGAAAAAAGAGGTCCAATTCCACCTCCTTTCTGGCATTGCGTCTGGGTGGGTGAGTCTAGAGAAGGCCACCATGGAGGAGGGAAGTTTGTTAAAGACTGAGTGGGCATTCCAGGAGCTGGAGATGATAAGTGCAGTAATATTGAGAGTACAGAAGTGAGGGTGATATGTACAGGTTGTGAGGTGGTGAGCAAAAGAATGACAAGCAGGGCGCCAGGTCAATGTGGATAAAAGCAATAGTACTTTATTATGAAGAAACTTACATCTTAAAATCCCTCAGTGAGTGTGCAGATGAAAGACACCAGAGCCATGGACATCAGAAGAGCAGATCTGATGATATATGCATGGCCGGGATGGAGACCTGCAGCGATGGATGAACAGCGGCTCTGAATGCCTTCCCACCGGTAGCAGGGAGAAGTG